TCCTCTAGCGTGTCGGAGTGAGCAGTGACCCGATGCAAATGTGTGCGCTAGGAAGTTTAGAGCTATGAACTGTGGGATACAGAGGAGCGTGGCCATCTGGAAACGCAGTGACAGGAAGGTGTTTATGAGAGACTGGGGGGAACAGAGAGCCACAACCTATTTTGTCTCGTTTTGTTGTACAGAAGCCACTGATCCAGTGCAGTGTTGTTAAAAGGCTGGTTTGGGACCCAAAGGAGGCAGATTTAAATTAGTCAATAAATTGGTTTCAGGGAAAATAATATCCAAAGCTCAAATAGAAGACAAGAAAATAAGCATAGATTATAAGGTGGATATTTAAAAACACGGCATGTTCTGCAAAATCCGGCTACAGAAAATCAATGTTTCATATCATAAGCAAAGGGGAATAAATTACGTATAAATTACGTTTGTTTAAAATACAAAACTCAAGGCCAATGGCGTAACATCATCACCCACATAATGACCCCGTCAGTCAATCAGTCAGTCACAGACATAATTTGCTTTCGTAGAGCTTACCTTGCCTTGCAAAAAGGTCCATATATTGTTGGCACAGTGAACAGTAGCACTGCTGAAAAAGAACCACTAACCTTGGAGACATATGGTAATCCAGCAGCATTAAAAAATGTTCACTTTGCATTAGGGGTAACAAATACAACTCTGATAAGGCTGCATGAGAGTAATCTGTAAACAGGGAGACTTCCATCCAAGGAGATACAATTATAAACAGCAATATTTGAGAATATGCATGCATTGTTTACTTTGAATCCCTTGAGGCCATGTAGGCAATTTGAATATGACACAGGAAAAAGCTGACTCTGCTAGAAATAATGGAAACTAGTATGAAAAGATGGATTCACATTGAATGGCTAATGTAAAAACCGGGGGGAAAAGGGCATCTGCAAATGGTATCAAAAATGAGGTTTTTTTTTTTTAAATGTAAATGTCATGTTCAGGGTCACACAGACAAAAATTGAAGAAAATAGCTGTTTGGACCAAAAGAAAGAAGTAGCCAAGGTATTTAGTTAATCGGCTAATCATGCAAAATCACTATAATGGTACTTTACAGATTCCATAAACACATGGCATCACCAACAACATCAGCTCGGATTTTGATGCTTACTATTTTAATATCCTGTTCTACTCGTTATGACAAACAGCATTATGTTCCCAAAATTGAACGGTAGAGAATTAACTAATGCTTGCTCGAAGGCATTCATTTACTTTTTTTGCATTTGTTTCATTAAGTCTTGACATAATTGATCAAAAATGTTTTTTAAAGTCCATTAACTTTTAGCCTGAGGCCAGACAAAACAGACACACAAATGTGATTATCAGCTGCTGCTGCCAATTTAAATAAGAGACAGTGCTGTTAATCAAACTGTGTAAAATAATAAAACTAAAAGCATGGATCAACAGGGTTCAGCTCCGCCCTATTCAATTACATTTTGAACAAAAAAAGACAAACTTTAATATCATGGTGAGACTTCAAAATACATTAAAACAGTTTGGTGTGATAGCTTTGCAAAGCTGTAAAGGTGATGAAGCTAAAGACAGCCTTTTCATTGACAGGCCTCATAAATCAAGAGTTGCCATGTCGGAGTTCTCCCTACCGTATGCTCCCACTTATTCACATTCTTGCTCTGTGCTTCCAAGTACAAAATACTTTTTTCTCCATATCATTTCTGGTAGTGTTGCATATTCCCCCCCCCCCCCCCCCCCCCCCCCCCCCCCCCCCCCCCCCCCACTCCTCTTTTATGCCCGTCGCCCCTCTCTCATGTCCTTTTTTCACAAGCATCTTCAGTGAAAGTTTCCCGCCACTGTGTGAGACACATCTGCATTGCAGTGCCAAAGGGAAAGCAGCGACTGGAGAGGAAGACATGTGACGACTGGCTTGAGACAGAGATGCAGAACGCAAATATAGGAAAAAGAATGAAGAGGTCTGACCTGTCATTTCCAGGAGTAATGGATGCATGAGTGACGGGATAACATCACTTCACCGATCATTTGCTATATTACACCACCGTTGTATTTTTGTACATTTGACAGAGAAAACATACCCATTTAGACATCCAAAAATCTAATACAAACAACCATTTGCACCTCAAAGTGCTGTCACAGGGAAATCACAGAGAGGGTCATCCACCCCCACCTCCCTCCCAGGCTCGAGCCTCCCTGTTATTAATGGCGTCATCATTTTCCTCTGCTCACTCTATTTCCCTTCTGATAGCAGGGCCTGCTTCATCGTGTTCTGCCATGTTTCTGTAATTGCTCCAACAGCCTGCCTTATGCTGAGCATATAGTTTGTGTGTGTGTGTGTGTGTGTGTGTGTGTGTGTGTGTGTGTGTGTGTGTGTGTGTGTGTGGTGTGTGTGTGTGTGTGTGTGTGTGTGTGTGTGTGTGTGTGTGTGTGTGTGTGTGTGTGTGTGTGTGTGTGTGTGTGTGTGTGTGTGTGTGTGTGTGTGTGTGTGTGTGTGTGTGTGTGTGTGTGCCCATCCAGTAGGCATGTGCGTCTTTGTAAGTGTGTGCATGCGCATACACGTGTGTTGCTCTATCCCCCCACCAGGGCCGGCTGTGAGTTTGTGGGGCAGAACCGAGCCGCGGGCATGCTCCACACGGAGCGAAATGACAGCCTCCAGGCCACCATTGGTTGATGACCGTGAAAACACTTGCGGTTAACGTAAAGTGAGCGACCGGCTGTCACAGCGAGGCACGGCGCTTATGTGCAGCCCTGACAACAGCACAACGAGCCCCTCCACAGCGAGGCTCTGCAGTGCTGCAACAAACAACAAAGACAGGACAGCCCTACAATTCAAAACAACAACCACTTCAGACATCTAAAGTACATAGGAGCAAGACACAACCTCTGCTACGTATTTGTCACAGTCTTTCGGGAATAAATGGGTTTTCTTTACTTAAATTCTGGTGGGCAGAAGTGAAAGCCGAGAGGTGGTTATCGAGGGAAAACAGGGAAGCTAGTGTGCGGGAGAGAATGCCAAGATTGTCACAGATGCCAGCCAAGGTCGGATAAAGTGAGGAGTAAGTGCTTAGAGAGCTCCAGGAGCAGAGGCCATCTCTGTGGAGGAGGTGTGAAGGAGTGAGTGTCCAGGCATGAGCGCCGCTGCCTGTACCCATCATTAAATGAAGCCACTTAAAGGAAAAAGGCTCTGCTCAGAAAAGGTCAATACACGGCACTTCTGAAAAGCACTGATGGTTTAATTTAGCCATCTGGAGAATAGTTGTGTCTGTGATGGAGACACAAAAAGTTTGGTAGACATTTCACTCAATCCCTCCAGCATTCACTTATTCCTGGAGATAAACTGAGAAGCAATAAATGATGTGACAACATCGCAGCGTAAGGAGGGATGATTACAGAGCAGCCATTATCATAAATCTTAACCTCTCTGTGGTTAAATCAGACTTTTTTTAACCCCCTGCATTTCCTGCTCGTTCACTCTCGCTGTAACTCTGAACACACACATGCACACACACTTTATTATGCAGTAACATTACCAGATCCCCTTAGGCAGCTGTGCATCTCTGTATGACTGATGAGGGTAATTTCTCCCAAACAACAGAATGATCACTTTGGTGGTGTGCGATACAGACCCTCCCCTCTCCCCCCCCGTCTTCCTTCTCTCCCGGTTTTTTTTTTTGGCTAACAAAAAACACAAGAAAAAGACAGATATTTGTCACTACGTCTCCTGCAGTGTCTGGAATGGCACTGGAGATAAATGGCTTCCGCATCCCATACATACAAATTAAAAAAAGAGAATTAATCATTCCACGGATCAAATCAATCTATTGATTCTGCCGAGCCGATACCCGGTCAAACTCTGTTAATAAAATACTTTAAAATCCAGTTCTCCCTGCTGCCAGCTGGATCTACTGTAGGACATTTTGGGGGCTTTTTACTTATTTTTCCCTTGATTAACATAGGGATTCAATATAATACACATGCCAGGGTGAATTATTCTCACAGTAAGGACTGGGCTGAGCCACAGTGAGTTTATACTGTCTGTGTACAACTGTGCAGCGAGAGATATACTGAGCGGAGAGTAGTTAGGACTGTCTGCCTCTCTCTCTCGGCCTCATAGGTTCAGCCTCAGTGGGTTGTCTTTACCTATTCTCCCATCTGTCAGTCACACACAAAAACAAATCCACCTGTCGGCCGGGAGACTGGGCTGAACGGGGCGAAGCCACAGCTGTCTGGGCCCGACTCGGTGCAGGATGGAGCGGGCCAGCGCCCTCCACTGGTGATGGAAAGCCTATTAAGATGCTTATTACCCCACCTGTCAGCCCCATCTCCTCACCTGCACAGATACGGCAGCCTAATGAAGACAGTCACTTTTAATACAGCACCTTAAACATGGAAGTCACGCCTCTGTGCGTTTTGTGGTCCTGGTGTCCTTGATCACAAGGGCTCTCCAGCCCTTGTAACAATATAACAATTCAAGCGTTGAGAGACAGGCATTCATACCGCGCCACTTGATTGCCTCAACAATGAAGCTATTAATGCTGCATTATGTAAATCGTAATAGTCACAAACATCTAATAGGATAAAGGCTAAGTACAGTGCAATTTAATGCTGGTGACTTTCAGTGGCTCTTTGAATGATGTTTTCAATTATAACAGAGCTAATTTAATTCATTGTTTCGTAGCTGAAAATGCATTTTTAAAGCTTGACTGAATCTCTATTTCAGAACTCAGGTTTAATCAGTCATGTACATTGAACACTGGAACGTCCTCTAAAGAGATTGACAAAGTTGCCGGGGATCTGCGTTCTAGGTTTTAAAGGGACAAAGTAAGCCTGCACTTCTCTTTTTCCTCAGACGGCAGGCTTCAGTCGAGGAGGGGAGGGTGTTCATCTAAAAGATGAAAAGACCTGCGCCTTTAAGAGGGCTGTCTCCCCCTTTCCCTCATGCTCCCCCTCAACCACACAGACACTCCTCCTGTGAGCATTTGTGAGGCAGCTCCTGTCCCTTATGTCTCTTTGTGGGGAACAGAACAGACTTCCCAGAGCATCACTGGAGACAAGACAGAGCTCTAGGGAGGACAGCCCAGGTGCAGACCTCCAAGCAACCCTGGCCTCTACTGTGGATGCCAAGAAGAGAACAAGGAGAGGAGACGCACACCAACTCAAGCTGGAGTAAAACAAGCAGAGGTCCAAAACAGGAGGTGGACTTTAACAGCTGGACAAGAAGTACATTTTGAGTTAAATGCGACATGATCATCTGATACGAATCAACAGCGCTGGACCGGATCACTAAGACAAAGGTGGAGTCTTAATTTGAGCTTTTAGTTTTTCTTTAGAAAAGTTTTCTTAAAGAAGAATCAACAAAGTACTCCATGTGACTATAAGGATAAAATAACCATCTGAAATATATACAAACGACGGATAGAGAATAATTTATCAATTTCTTTTTTCTTTTTTTCAATCTCTCCAGGGCAATTTTAAACGTATGGTATGAAATTGAGATACTCTTTAAAGAACATCTTCAATGGTCCCGACAGTGCTCTTAATTCAGCAGCCGGGCGTTTATCTTATTTCTCCAGCTCTTTCTGAGAGGGAGCTTTAAAGACTTCATTGATAGTGCTCTTGGGGAGCGGTTAATAATTCTTATGTGAAGTCTTGAAACTTTACAGCTGTTGACTGGAGGGAGAGGAAAGTGCTACATGCATAAGAAAATTATGACGACCTGTTTTCCATGTGGGGAGAGTGTGTTTCTGGACTGACATTGCGGTGGAGCATTGAAGACAGAAGACATGTTCACCGGGTGTGGAATGATCAGTGGCCAGAACCAGTACCTGATCCGAGACGCTGTCAGGCCCCTTCCCGGACTAGAGGTGAGCCGACCGATCCAAATTGAGCATGGGTTACCTTCAGGGAGCTTACCCGTTTACCATAACCAGACTTATAGCAACGTCGTCCAGCCAGCAGTGATCAACAATGTTTCCATCCCGCTGAAACCAGTGCCACTGCCAGTCCCTCCCCCTGCACTCAAACTAGGACAGGAGGGGTTTAAGAAAGTCTGCCGAACTGAGGAGGATAGCCCCTGCCCGTTCCCAGGGCTGGCCTCTGGGGTGCTGGAGATGCGCGTGAAGGAGGGAAGTAAGATCCGCAACTTAATGGGATTTGCCATGGCACGAATGCAGGGAGAGAAGGGCATAAGTGGGGGAGGTGTGAGCGGTGGTGGGCTCAGGCAGGTGGTCTTCACTGGGTCAGGCCGCGCCGTCACAAAGACCATCACTTGTGCTGAAATCATGAAACGAAAAGTGGGCTCTCTGCACCAGCTGACCAAACTGCAATACAAGGTGGTGAAAGAGGTGTGGGAGAGCAGCGAGGGGGGGGCATCGGAGATGACCGTGCACAGGACCGTGCCCTCCATCAGCATCCTTCTTTCCAAAGACCCGCTGGATCCCCAGGAGCCGGGGTATCAGCCTCCAGAGGCTCTCAGTGCATTGTGGGAGGAGAGAGAGGGCGTTGAATCTGCCCCGCAGACACCATGCAAGAGAACTCTTGGACCTTTGCCATACAGCAGTTTCCCTCACTGTAAGAGAGCGTGTTTGGGGGAAGGAGTCTCAGTCCACGCTCCTCACTGACTGGCTGAACCGGTGTCAAACAGTGGAGAGGATTGTATCAGAGGAGTTCATTTGGCGCTGCCCTCCATTCAAGCACAATGCTGAGACAATCAGAACACTCACTCAGACAGAACAGTGCTTTCTCAGAAGAACTGAGTACCAACTCCAGCCTCCAGAGGTCAGTTTGACTGGGACTCGAAAGCTTGCCTCTGTGCACACAGCATTTAAGGGATGTGTTTCTAAGCACGTCCAACATGGTCTCTCACATCCACATAATAGTGATGTGTGCTACCGTGTTATCAAATCTCTCACAGATTGACATCCCATTTCACACCAACAAAAGAAGAAGCCATGAATCGCACAGGTTCCAGATTCCTGCTTGCAGTAAACTAAACATTTTTGTTAGCTCCTTGTTGCAATCATTCTTATTCCTACATGCTTAAGTGTAGCTTTTAAAAATACACAAGATATATATAAGTATATTAAATACAAAAGCTTAAAGCCATTGATGGTATGACAAATGCAAAACATACCAATTTTATTTGTCGGATATATTAACTCTTATGAAAACAGAATTCAATAAATTGTTTTTTTTTTCCCAATGGATATGTTGTTTTGTATTTAATCTTTCTTACTCGCACATCATGGAATTCGCTGCTCTGATTGAACAGAAAATCACAGTGTGCAGATCATTTGATAAGAATAACAGCAGTGAAATTTGTCTGTAGAAAAAGCAGATTTAATGACAAAGCTGTTGATAAGGCAGGGCTCCTAAACCAACCCGGCCTGACAGAAATGCCTCGGGAAGAAATACAGGCAGAGATTATCATTAAGATAACAACATAACATCACACAACACAGTGGAGAAAAGGATTAAAACTAGGCTTGACAGAGTTTCGCACTACACTGTTCCTGCAAAATATATGAAACCACGGCAACACAATATACTCCTCTTCCTTTCTGTGAATAAGCCTACCCACCCACCATATCTATTGTATAGTACAGTATATATCTTCCGCTATAATCTCCATTTCATAAAGAAAAATAATAAACAATGTGGTCCTAAGTTTTCACAACAACATTATAAAGTTAGTTGACTGACATTATCAATTAAATGGTTGCAGAGTTTGACAGTTTTGATGCATTGCCTCTGGATTTTCACACTATTTAGATACCCTTTTAGTTGAAAAAAAAGGTACTGCTGAGTGATTGCTGAAGCTTAACTGAATGCTCCGTCATCTATGGCAATTGGATCAAATTTAACTCCATGCAGAATGCACAGCGCGAGAAAGAAAAAACAGCTGGCAGCACCCGTATTGAATTTTATGCATTAAAGATTACGACATATACTTCTTAAAAAGTTGTCGTAAACATTAAACACAAAATAAACCTTCCAGAGAATTGTTTAATTTAAATAGTTAGGAGCTTTTTCCACTTAATCAACCATGGCTTCTGGGGATAATAACTTAGACAAGTGGAACCTTGTCTGAGGCTTTTACTGTTGATCTTAATGAAAATCTGCAAACGCAGATGTCTGCCTCCTGAAGTAAATTAATCAAAGTGACTCTTAACTGGGGAGAATTCTGTTTCAGCTTCAAAAGGAGCGAGAAAAGGAGAGTTCACTTCCATGGAATCAGCGTTCAAATTCGTCTTTCAAAAGAATACAAATCGTAATATTTCATATAATGGTCAGCCAGAATTTAACAGTCTAAGGCGGACACAGTGATTAACCTCCCTCTCGATCCCATTAAATGAATCGGAGCACAGCCGAGCACCCAAGGTTGAATAAGAAATGCTGCGACTGCAATACAGCACATATGTAGCAAACTGTGTGTCCTCGAGACTGCTGGAAGGTTATCACTCCGGGTCGTTGTTATCACAGAGTTAACAGCTTTCACCCGAGAGCCTTTGGGACAGTCAGTCTGCGATGCGGGTCAAAAAGATAATACCGCTATAAGTAAATTTCAAATCGACCTGCATCTGTTATCAAGCATTAAGAATTCTGGGCCAAGTGTAAAATGCAGTGGGGGTAATTACGGATAACGGCATAGCGTACCTGAGTGAAGGAATAGATAAAACATACTGACAAAAGCATTATCCCCAGCTAAATCCATTGTGGCTGGCACGAAATAGCATGCTGGAGGAGTCAACAAGGTGCATTAGGAGTGTGGACAAGGTTATTCACAAGCTGGGAATCCATTTTGCCAATATTCTTTGTTTTGAAAGATGTAGTCAAGGTGGATTTAAAGGATATAAAGGCATGGGCCTAAAATTCACCATTGGTTTATTTTGTATTTTATATCTGCAGTAGATTTAGAGTGTGTCAAATGTTTCAAACACCTCGGAGGAAAGCAAGTAAAGTCTTGATTGCCCTTACTTTCATCCATGAAGGAGATACACATAAAGATTATTTGGGTGGGTGCAACTCCAGAGACTAGTGATGCTTATTTCCTACTGAGTATATAGGATTTCAGTAAAAATGTACATTGTTTGTGTGGTTATTGTTATGGGAGCAGTTTTATAAGTTACATCGAAATGTAGAATGAATTACATTGTTTTAAATGGTAACGCAAAGATGTATTCTTACTTGATATCTTAGTTATTCAGTTTTTAAATCATTACTAAAGGACAGCTATCTTTAGACTGAGCAATCACAGTTATCTATAATGGTGGGGACAACAGAACCGTTGTGTTTACCAAAGCCAATAACTACATGCAGTGAATGTGAATAAATTCATTCTGAAGTTAACATAATGAAAGTGTTGGCACTTTATTTTTCTCTTCTCCGCCACTGCAGCAGATGAGAGTGAGGTCTCTGGGATGGTGTGGGAGTTCGCTATCTCCCAGCCTCCAGATGGCTCCGTCTTCTCTTATCTAGAAGAATGGGTGCTGCCTCAATTTTTCAACTCGCCTTATCAGGAAATTCTTTAAATTGAATATTTACTGGGCCTATGTTTTCTGCCTGTGTTAGCCCTCTGAAGTTGACATTCCTCTTGCTTGTCGAGACAGGCCGAAAGGTTTTTTCTCACTCATACACTCCCTTTGTCTGCCTTGTCAAGTAATGGGGCAGTGATTGATTATGTGATTGTCAGGAGAGAATGGAAGGTTAAGCAGTTAAGCAGAGAGCAGTGGAGACATATTAACGAATGGCCATAGAGGGAATTTGTTTTACAATAGAGAGACTTACATTACCCAAACATGACATCGGGCAGACCTCCATTTTATGTCAGGAGTAAAATAGAGCAAATTAATCACTTTCCCAGCAGTCCATTGTTTCCTGCACTAGAGGTTAAGAGAACACTTAAGCAGCTATTGAAAACATCTTATTGCAATGAGACTGGCTGTGGTCTATCAGCATAAACAAGCCGTGCCACAGCTACTCCCTGGTAAGTGTTTGGAAATGTCTTTTCAAAACCATTTTGAGAAATGCCTCCATGTTGGATTAATCAGCAGAGCCGAGGATGTAATTGCTGTGCTGGAGTCAAAGCTGTAAGAGCAGATAATGAACACGGACTAGAGGGCTGCCAGAAATGAGAAGTTCAGGGACCAAAATGTCTTCAGCATCCTTTCAAAAGCCCTTATAGAAAATGAGGCACACAGTATTGTCATTAAACACAGAAAAGAAAAAGGAAATCACCTATGACTAAGTGGTTACTAACATGGAATAGTAATGGCCTGTGCATTGTGGTGTTTATTCAAAAAGAGAATGGCAAAACATGAATGCGAAATTAACATTTCCTTTAAGGCTTTTATCAAACTATTAAAAAAAATGTATATATATATATATATATATATATATATATATATATATATATATATATATATATATAGTTACATTAATGCATCTTTGAGTACTGTTTTTTAAATAAAAGTAATTGAGGGATGGGCTGTTCCAAAATGTGAAGAAAACCAAAAAGAGTTTTTTCTGAGTGTTGCTGCCCTCTGGTGGAGAAATAAGCTCAAAGTCAAATACAGAAACACCTCTTTGCTCAAGGATGCTATTATACTCGACAGAAATCCATCGCCCTGTAGACCAGAGGGATTGCAAAACAAAGCTAAATGGCCACAGAATAGATTAGTATCTGTATTTCTTTATCCTACTATAACAGCATTTACAACGAGAAAATGTCCAGGCTGTGGGCAGTATTATTGTCTGTCAAATAGTCAATTACAATCTAAATGCTATCCCATTGTTACTCTGACTTTCTCCTACTTTAATTTCTACAAGTGTAAATATTACACTCTTTTATCAGCATGACCTCCCCCACAATAATAAGGGATTCAGATTAAATTAGTTAAACCCATTTGAAGTATAAATTAGGTCTTCTAAAAAGCACTAACGATAAAAAGGTATGGCTGTACTGTACAGTCTGATATTTGTAAAATAAGGTTAGTTAACGGAAAGACAACCACGCGCTCACATACTGCTGAAACGGAAAAAAACAATATGCAAGGGAGATGCACACAAATAAATGGTTGCTCTATGACCTCCAAGGTAAACATCTGCACTTGTACAATGTAGGGAAAATTGATTTTGCTGTGATTAATATGGTGACCGAACTGCTTTAATATACTGGGTGTGTTCAGAGGTGAAAACCAACCAAGTATAAGGTGCAGTGCTCTAGGCTTGCATATTAACATTCCTCAGTGTTCTCCTCAGTACTGATAGAGTGATGAACAGCCGCTGCCTCTCCGTGTTATCGCTGTAATTGGATGCCTCTTTCCACTGCGATCAATATATTGTGTTTTCCTTGAAAAGAAGGCACCGTGGTTTTCTTACGCATTACCTTAGGAACAGCAAGGGACTTAACATCTCTTTACAGACTACCCTACAACCATGAATACACAGACTGCTATTATAACTTTTGGTTTTATGGTTTTAACAGTTATTAGAACTGACTGAATAGCTTATCAATGGTATATTTATAACCATCAATGAACCACTCAACCATGCCTAACAAGTAGAAACCAAAAAGAGGAAGTTTTTATTGTTCAGATTATTAGGTTGAAAATTGTGTTTTAGGGGGATAATCTGACTTGTATTTCTTAATCAATGTATATTACTATCATAGCACAGCTTATAATCAGGCCATATCAGACTTGAAGTAATAGTCTTTTATTTTTAGGCTATTCTCAATATTTGTATGTTTAGCCTATTTTAGTTTCTCATTTTTAATATCAACCCTAACCTACCTTATTTGTTTGTGTAATTTCATGTCATTAAGTAGCTGCTGTAACACAGAAATGTTGTTTGGGGGTAGCTTCGTGCTTCTATCAAAACAGACAGCATTTCTGGTTAATTATGATGTTTTTGAGGTAAAAGAATATCCAGTATTAATCACAAAATATATAGAAGCCTAATCACATGACACGTGAAGTATTTTATAAAAAATGTAAGGTAATAGGTGTAGCTTCAATAAATGGTATGGGACATTTGATATACTGTAATACCAAGATACATTTTAATCTTCTCAACATTTAAATTAACAATGAATACATTTTGACATGCCTTTCTAGGCCAATTTTGACATGCAGTGAAGCAGTCATCAATCATTTTATTTGATAAACTAATATTTAAAAAAGCAGCAAAGCTAAAGTTACACAAT